TTACTGGCAACTAAAAACAAATTTTTTATGGCAAATATTTATTTAAAATATTACACATAAACAAAGCATTTGAAAAATCTTTATTGCTTAAGTTGGCAATTATAAAGTTGTTACTTGAAATCAGATTTTGTAATTGACCTCTGGCAATCAACAGGTTAACAAGCCACTGTATATATCACTTAGATCAAGCAGCTCTTTCCTAACCAGTATGGATCCTCTGGTGTAAATTTTAGAAAAATGAGAGTACCACTTAACCAATCTTTTCACACTGTTTCAGATATCAAAGAGAGTGGATAAGGTTTCTTGGCTTTAACTATTCAGCTAATATGGTTCACATATACACCAAGTATGACTTTACTTGGAATTCCTAAAAACAGGTTATATGCTTGATTAAATTGAGCTTATTAAATATTTATACATCTGTATTTATTTTTATTTGAGAGACTTACATAGAAGAAACTGGTAATGGTTTCCCTTATTTGGGAAATACACAAAAGACATGAATAATGACTTTGTTTCTTTGAGTGACTTAAATAAATGATGCTAGTAATGGTTTTCTTTGAGACTTAACATATCTGCAACATTATTCTTTATACTTTGAGTTAGAAGTCATGAGAAAACAAAAGACATGAAAAAACATATGCAGTATAGAAAAACATGTTTACAGTTTTTTTTTTCTTCTTATTTTAATGTTTTATTATCTTATTGCTTATCTTATGCTTATTTTGTTTTTGTTTCCTTTTCTTGCCATTTATAGAAGTTTTGTGAACTTCCTTTTATTGTGAGCATTTTTGAGTTAGCTGAACTTGTATTTTATGCAAACCCAAAATAAACAAAATGTAATGAAAAGCTAACAAAAAAGAAAAGGAGGAAAAATTGCAAAAATGTAAATTAATCATAAATTTTTAAAAAAGCAATTAATTTATCTAGAAACAAAATAAATGACATATGGTCACATGATAGCTGAAAGATATGAAAGCTATAAAGGAAATTATATTCCTATTAGAATTCTAAATATTTTGCTCTCAAAAGAGAAGAATGCATTCTTTGAAGGATATTTTAAATCTAAAACCAATAACATTTTGGTGTTTATCTGTTTGCATGAAAGGAAAGTGTGTATTTTTCAAACTAGATTCTTATCACAAAATACTGACAAAGATGATGGGAGCAAAATATTTGAGAACTAAACATTTCTGAGAACCAAAAGTTTCAACAAATAATAAAAGCTACAAAACTGCATAATAATTATCAAAGTAGCCAAAACACATACAATGAACTATCCTTCAGACTATAAAAAAATTATCACATTGAAAATGTTGAAACTGTAAAACTAAAGATCTACAGCATAATCAAGTCAAAAATAACATAAGAAATCTATCTGATTATGATACTGTTTTCTATGAATGATAAGTTATTATATAACAGGTTATAAAAATAATCTACATTATACTGTCAAAAGTCTAATGTATATTAAAATAGTATCTCAGTGGAAAACTGAGTAGATTTTCTATAGTTTATAGGGTTAATTCAAATTGTCAGCCATTTTCACTGACAATAACTATCATTGCATTACCATTCTATACTGCCAAAATTTAAAAGCAGGAAGAGGCAGTCAGGTTTGAGGTAATATAAATAACTTTTTGAATCTCCTTAAACAGCCATCCAGCAGTTAAAAATATAAATTGTTAGTATAAGATAAAATATGAACTTGTAAAAACACACACACACACACACGTATATATATATATATATATATATATATATATATATATTATTTATCAGGTGTAATAATGTAGGTAATTGTTCATATAAATGCTATTACTATGAAATGGTACTTTTAATAGATGATTTTGAAATTTCTCAGCAATATGTGTGAAAAATATTGAGATTAACTGAACATATTTTTAAATTGTTGATATTTATTTACATTAAAATTAAATAGCATTTATTTATATTTCGTATTTCATGCAAAACAAAATAACTATCATATAAAATGTTTCTTTTTTATTTTATCTAAAAATCTTCCCACCTAATCTTTCAGAATGGAACTTTCTTTTCATTAAGAGATATGTATGCACTTAATTTAGATATTTAAAATAAGTACTCAATGGTATTTTGTCTTATATTTTTATCCTATAAATTACAGTAAACTAACCATTAGTAGAATAATGATTTTCTAGTAAAAATTGCTCTTATTGTAGATCCATAAGAAAATAAATATGTAAATACTCTTAAATTTTAATATGAGGTAAATATTTTCCTTCATTTAAAAATATGTTGCATCTGAGAGTTTATAGCCATTATTGAAAAATATATGCATTACAAATACAGACTGAAAAGGTCTGTCAAAGAAAGTTTAATACACTTGTTTATTGAATCTTGTTGAAAATGTCCTCTTAGGCTTTCTCAAAGAACATGAACATTTTCAAAAGCATCTGATGAATGTAATTTGCAATATGTTGGAAAAATTAAAAGGAAAAGAAATGTACAGAAAACTATCTTCATTAAAAACTAGGTTAGATTTTGTGAAAACCTCCGGTATGAAATCAGGTAAAAAAATTGAGTATGTTGATTTAGGATTGCTTGGAAAAAGTTGATTTTATTATAAGACAACTTTTAAAAAGCAGACATTGAAGCTGAAGCTGACATTTGTTTTTAAATGTTGTTTTTAATTTATTTATTCAACATGCACTATTTTCAATAATCAGGTTTTCTTTAAGGTAGTTCTATAGTTTAAACATTGAACATTGAATTAAAAACATTACAGATGGGTGGCTCAAATACTCAAAGACAAAATAATTATCAACATTAGGGGCTTTTTATCAAAGGGTAGATTTCAGCTGACAATAGATCCTTATGGATTACAATGTTTTATATAATGGCTTGCTTCCAGGATTGAATTATTACATTGCTGAAATAAGTATGTATCAGCATTAAAAAATCAGGTGTTTTACAGACATCTAAGAAAAATGATCAGTTTAAACTTAGTAACAATTTTTTGTATGTCATTTAAATGAACCAATTGAATACTGCTGTTTTACATAGCAATAATTGATCTAGGTTCCAGAAAGTCATAATAAAAACTTCTTTTCTGTTGTAGACTCCATTTGAATCTATTTTTCCCAAATTAAACATGACGAGCAGTGTTGAATGTGCATTTTATATTCAGCTATGATCTTAACCTAAATAAAATAAAAATATAATTTTTTCAGAAATAATTCTTAAAGCATGTATTGTATCAGCAATAAAAAGATGAGTAAAATCCCATGATACTCCCTAAGATTTTGAAAAAAGATTCAACTGGAAACTATTACATCAACCTAATTAGAATGCACATTTTATAATTCAAATATAATGCTACCTCTTTATTCAGACTGTTTATTAATAATAAACATTTGTAAAAACATGATCGCTTGTTAAAAGAAGGTTCTATAAACCTGATTTTAACTCTTTCTATTCCTTGGCACAACTGAATAAAATATGGATCAAATAAAACTATATTAAAATCAATCACAAGTCTTGACCTTATTTTCACAATTAAATTAGAGTTAAAATTACTAAAAAATATGTGTTTGGCAATTAAGTCATAATTTCTGCCCAGATAATTCAAAGTCAGTCATAAGATAAACCGATTTCTTTTAAAAAAGGATTAAAGATACATTTCAAAATTAGCAAAATGCTAGGTTAGGTTAGCTAAAACTGTAAGCAAAGACTTAAATATCTTAACCACTAAGAAGGCCACAAGACATATTTAAAAATGATCAATGACTTTAAAGACCTTTTTAAGTTTCAAAAAAGGTTGCAACTTTGGATATATTTCTATAGTACATTGTTATATGAAATCATTTGGCCTGAATTTAAAGACTACCTATCTCTTTATAATTAGACTCAAAGTTTTCTTTATATTCTTCCTCTTACATTTTTTATTCTCAGTTGAGGCAACAACATTTGATTTCATAACTATTGCTGTGAATTTCAAATGAAGAGTTTATTTTTATTGTTAGAAATTTGTTCATTTATATTGCTGTGTTTGTTATGTTTGTATTGTTAAAGTTAGCAATGGCTTTAGTAATTTAAGGTTGAAAAATTCTGAACTACACTCATAAAATTTTGTTTTTACTGAGTGACATCTCTCTATTAAATTTGGAAAGTATTTGATGGCAACGAACCATTTAATCTGGTTTTTATTATGATATTAAAAGGAAAGAAAAATTGGCGTATATTTATGATGAACATTTAACATTAGGAATTGATGCATTGACTGAGTAATTCTACTTTTGACAATTCTTCTAAATTCTTTAAATTATTTTGTAGTATTGTCTTTATATTGATGCCCTCAAAATCAAAAGAAGCAATCAATTTATCTGAAGACAGTTTTGGAAAGAATTTTTCTGCTCAGTTAGTTGTGAGCTATCAGAATAACTTTTTCAAAGAGTGTTTTAATACATTTTTATGAAATGAGGGAACATTCTAAACATATCCCAATTTTTATGAGACTGGAAGTAACTTTAAAATACAAACATCACATTATAAAGTAGATATAAAGCTTAATATATTTCATAACATCAACAATGATTTTGATTGCTTTGAAAATGTCATTAAAAGATACAAGACAGAGTTTAAACTCCTTATACTTCTAAAAAATTAATTAGTTTCATGTTGGATTTTTACAAATTTCTGTATACATTGTATTTACTAAAACACACATATAAAAATATGCAAAATATATCAGCTGTCCCAAACTTAATTCACCTGACAAATGGATAACAAACTTACATAGAACAACTTACAACAGAAAATTGTTATATGCATGTGTGTGTGTGCATGTGTGTGTGTTCACTATTATTCTGAAGACAGAGATTTCCACTCTTTCTTTCACTCTAAGCAAGACTTAAGACAAATACTCTGAAGTAGAAATGATAGTGAATAAGTAAGTCAGAAATAAATTTAGTAAAGCAATTTTGGCTATTTTTGAACTGTCAGTATCAATAATACCATACCATTCTAAGTGTATCAGCCTCCTCCTGGTCTGGCATTTCAGGCACCCCTTTTAATGTATCTTCATTCTGGTAGATATCCACTTCGTCGTCTTCTGCATGAAGCAAGATCAATCGTCCACCCTGTGAGGCCAAACACAGTTAGGCGGTTTATGGTGGAAGAAAATATGGTTGTATGGTTGGTACACATTCTTTCATTATGTTTGTGTTTAGTTTGCATGACTTTTTCATGTTAATTATCTTTTGATTCTAATATGTTAATTTGTCTTATATACTTCTTATATACTTATTCTTATTTATAATTTTCTCACCCCACCAATATATGCAATAATAGGTTTTGCCTCATATTATCTTGAGTGTATCATATGTAAACAACTGTATTCTCACCTGACTACTCGTCTACCTGTAAATATATATGTACACACACACACACATATATATATATATATATATATATATATATATATATATATATATATATATATATATGAGGGTCGGTCAAAAGAGATGAATGTTCTAATTTAATTTTAAACACTTTTACAAAGGATTCTTAAGGTTATTTTTTAGCTATAAATAATAATGTGTCTAGAAATCCAGGGAAGAATTTTGCAGTTAACATCTCTTTTCCTATCCATAATCCTTTTTAACAGGATGTTAGTGAATGTTTATGCTTGATCTGATGGAAGCACAGTAAGGCAATGGGTCAGTAGAGTTAATGGCAATCCAAGAGAGAAAGGAGAAACTGTCAGGCTCTGCAATAGCAGCCCAGCTGTTGCTGTGGATGAAGGTAAAACCAAACAAACTGATGCTCTCATGACAGCTGACAGAAGAATTATAACCACAAAATTGTGAAATTCCTCAAGTGAGGCATGGTAGTACCTGTAGTTTAGTACAGTCTCTTGGCTACTCAAAGGTCTGTGCAAATCATGTTTTCAGAATTCTGTCAGGCTCCAAGAAATAGAGTGGCTGCTGCCCAATTACTTCTGAAGCTTCACAGAAAATGCTTACAAGACAGTGATTCTGAAATTCTGATGACATGGAAGAGACAACCCATATATGGCTAAGAAAGCAGCCTTCATTCAGAGATGAAAAGGTGAAATAGTTCCCTTTCTTCCCAGTTGTAAATGCTAAAGACTAGATTTGGTATCATGAAACTTTTCTGTTCATTTTGACTGACCCTATATATATATATATATATATATATATATACATACATACATACATAATCTCACACATGCATAAATGCACTACACTAAATTTCAGAGTTAAAAAAAGGAATTTATCAATAATCTCTCTCTCTCTGTATGTATGTATATATATATATATATATGAAAATTTCTCCGATTTAATCGGTAGAGAAGACAATATTTATGAATAAAAATGACAATAGGAAAACTGGTAATTGCTGACGCGTTTCGTCCAATGTGGACTTTATCAAAGCAAAATACGAAAATGAAATTAAATGAACAACGTAACTAATAAAAACAAATACAGAATGTACCTAGCAACTGGAATGTAGAGAAACGCTATTTTCATAGTTTTTAACTGAAAAATAACGTCAGAGATTGTCACGTGTGGAGAATATTGTCATTATATCTGTGTTGATGTATTCAACCATTTTCTTTCGATTTTATGAATCTGTTGTGCATATTTGTTTGTAAGAGCATTAATTTTGTTAAGAAAGGTGAAATAGGGAAAAAGCCTGGGCGTAAATTAATATTTGGATAATTTTCAATGGCGGCACTCTCCAGAATTTTCCTTCTGAGTGAGTTATTTTCTTTTTTTATGAGTGTAGCATTTTCAAAATCAAAATTATGGTTGTATTTATTTCTATGTATGACTATTGCATTAGCTAAGTTGTTTTTTTTTAGAGGTCTCTTTTGTGCTCATAAATGCGTTTTTCAAACTTCTACTTGTTTCTCCAATATATTGGGAGGAGCAGTTTTGGCAATTTATTTTATAAATGCCTGCTTCAGAAATATTAGTGCTATTATTGTTTGAAGATCTTAGTATATCTATAATGGTTTTGGAGGTGTTTGTGACTATTTCAAGATTATTTAGATGGGATAGGTTATTCTGGATCGTGGACGTGGCAGAATTGGTCGGTAGTATTATGTATCTGTTTTCATGTGATTTACTATTGGGATTGTGTTATTAGTTTTGTTTCGTTTGTATATTTTGTATGCCTTTCTTCTTGCATTGTGGATGAAATGATATGGGTATTGTAGGTTTTTGAATGTGTTTCTATGTATGTTTCTTCTTTAAATAAATATTGAGGACTACAGATTCTTAATGCTCTTAGATAGAAACCTATAATAATTCCAGATTTAATTTTTTGAAGGGTGGTTTGAGTAGAAGCTGATGAGATCATTTTTGTTTGTAGCCTTTCTGTGAACGTCAAAATTGAGTTCGTTGTTATTTCTAATTAACAAAATGTCCAGGAACGGAAGAGTGTAGTTGGTTTCAGTTTCGAGAGTGAAGTTTATTGTAGGTTCAATGTTGTTAAGTTTGGAGAGAAGATCCGTTAAATTGGTGTTTTTTGGAATTATTAATAACGAGTCGTCTATGTATCTGAAATATGAAGAGTTTGTAGGGAGAATATTTTTGAATGAGTCACTTTCTAGAAATTCTAAAATAGACATGCAAGAACGCCGAGAGAGGAGATCCCATTGGCAAACCAAATTTCTGTCTGTAATGTTGGTTATTAAAAGTAAAGAAACATAGCTTGGTAATTAGTTGGCACAGTTTTATAATTTTGTGTGTAGATATAGGTAATTGGATTTTTGCATTTGTTAGGTGTTTTTTAAGTAAATTTAAGCATTTATCTATGGGGACGTTTGTATAAAGAGATTGTATATCTAAACTAGTCATATATTTGTTTTCAATGTCTATGTTTTTTTAGCTTGTTTAAGAGGTCGCCTGAATTTTTTATGTGTGATGGACTAATAGTGCCGAGAAGTGGAGTTAAAATTCTGCTTAGTTTTATGGCTATTTTATGTGGAGCGCTGCCTATCCCTGATATGATAGGTCTCATTGGTATGTTCGGTTTATGCGTTTTTGGTAATCCATATAATATGGGTGTTTTGGGATGGTATTCAGTAAGCTTTAACCAGGAGACGTTTTCATTTTTTAGTAGCGGCGTTCTTGCATGTCTATTTTTAGAATTTCTAGAAAGTGACTCATTCAAAAATATTCTCCCTACAAACTCTTCATATTTCAGATACATAGACGACTCGTTATTAATAATTCCAAAAAACACCAATTTAACGGATCTTCTCTCCAAACTTAACAACATTGAACCTACAATAAACTTCACTCTAAAACTGAAACCAACTACACTCTTCCGTTCCTGGACATTTTGTTAATTAGAAATAACAACGAACTCAATTTTGACGTTCACAGAAAGGCTACAAACAAAAATGATCTCATCAGCTTCTACTCAAACCACCCTTCAAAAATTAAATCTGGAATTATTATAGGTTTCTATCTAAGAGCATTAAGAATCTGTAGTCCTCAATATTTATTTAAAGAAGAAACATACATAGAAAACACATTCAAAAACCTACAATACCCATATCATTTCATCCACAATGCAAGAAGAAAGGCATACAAAATATACAAAACGAAACAAAACTAATAACACAATCCGCAATAGTAAATCACATGAAAACAGATACATAATACTACCGACCAATTCTGCCACGTCCACGATCCAGAATAACCTATCCCATCTAAATAATCTTGAAATAGTCACAAACACCTCCAAAACCATTATAGATATACTAAGATCTTCAAACAATAATAGCACTAATATTTCTGAAGCAGGCATTTATAAAATAAATTGCCAAAACTGCTCCTCCCAATATATTGGAGAAACAAGTAGAAGTTTGAAAAAACGCATTTATGAGCACAAAAGAGACCTCACAAAAACAACTTAGCTAATGCAATAGTCATACATAGAAATAAATACAACCATAATTTTGATTTTGAAAATGCTACACTCATAAAAAAAAAAATAACTCACTCAGAAGGAAAATTCTGGAGAGTGCCGCCATTGAAAATTATCCAAATATTAATTTACGCCCAGGCTTTTTTCCCTATTTCACCTTTCTTAACAAAATTAATGCTCTTACAAACAAATATGCACAACAGATTCATAAAATCGAAAGAAAATGGTTGAATACATCAACACAGATATAATGACAATATTCTCCACACGTGACAATATCTGACGTTATTTTTCAGTTAAAAACTATGAAAATAGCGTTTCTCTACATTCCAGTTGCTAGGTACATTCTGTATTTGTTTTTATTAGTTACGTTGTTCATTTAATTTCATTTTCGTATTTTGCTTTGATAAAGTCCACATTGGACGAAACGCGTCAGCAATTACCAGTTTTCCTATTGTCATTTTTATTCATAAATATATATATATATACAGTTATAAATCTATACTTACATGCATGCACATATGTATATATTAGTAAGTACATATGGACATCATAACTTTCCAGATTTATTTTGTAATGATATATATATAATCTGTCATTTAAGGAAGATCATGAAAGAAATAGATTATTGGGTAATATATAAGAGATTGTAATTGGGAAACACACAGCAAATAATTCATTATAAACACTGTCTATTCCTCAGGTTAAACCTGATTATTTTTTCTCTTAACACCAAAGGGAGAGATTGTCTCCTAAAACTGACTATAAAATTAAATAAAAAATGCTATACTAAATTCAGTGTCTACAAAAGAGAGCTAACATACCTACAAAGAAATTAGAAAAATAAAATGTTCTGTTGAAAAGTTACTAGAAGGAATATGCATATACTTCATGAAAACTGAAGTGTGCACAAAAGAGATGTCAATATTGGCCAAAATAAATCATTGGATCTTACTAAAAAATCTCCAAACATTCATATATAAAGGGGTTTTGAAAATTTCTTGGCCTGACCCACTCCCCAAAATTTGACCAAATGACAGAACGTCAGAATATTTTTGGAAGGGCTTTTTTTTTATTTGGGTCAAGAACTCTTCACTAAACCTCATGTTGATAGATATCTTGTCAGACTGTTATTAATTAATAATTCAGTTAAAATTAAAGCTTTTTAATTTTA